GCCTACATAAGCCATGAAATGTGTGTTCAGTAGACAGACTTCATAAAATCTCTTTTGGTGTTTCCTGCTAGAAACATGAAATAGTGAATATTGTGCCCTCAAACATGCATAGCTGTCTACTATTGATCCACAAAGAGAAGCGTTTTGTAGGGTTTTAAAATTTTTGTTTTATTTTATGTGTATGAATGTTTTGCCTACATGTATTTAAGTACATCATATGCATGCAATGCCACCAGAGGCCAGAAGAGGGTATTGGATCCTCTGGAACTGGAGTTAAGGTCAGTTGTTAGCTGCCATGTAGGTACTGAGAACTGAATTTGGGTCTTCTTCAAGAGCAGTCAGTGCTGTTAACTGCTGAGTGATTCCTTCAGCCCCCAAGTTTTACAGGTTTTAAGAGGACAGACTCTGAAGTTTTGGGGTTTTTTCCCAGGCTCTATGAGCAAAGTTTAAGATCTATGATGACAGAAATCCTGCCTCGACATCTTTGTGTCCCCACAAAGACTTCACTCCAGATGCTGAAATGGGTTGGTTGGTAAGCTGTAGCTGTTGGAAGTGCTTCTGCCATCTGCAGTTTTGTTAGTGGCTTCAGGACATCAAGGACAGGACCTGACCTCTCTGCTATCAAGTCACTTTTCCCTCAGGCACCCCAAGACTATCAATACTAGACTTCTAGTAACTTGATTTGAACTGTCTCCATCTTGTCTTCTAGTGTCCCACAGAGCTGATGCTCTCGTATGTGCACATAGTGAGAAGCCACAGGTGCCGATGGCAGTAATGCTATAAGAATCCTACTCTAACATTATTGATAAGGATGAGTCTTCAATTGAGCAAAAAACAATGAAATGCAGCAAATCAAGGCTTATGTTTAATGGATGTATTCTCTTATACTAGCAATAATAAACCAGAAAAATATAGCAGGCACTATCAAATTATAGAAAGATTCTCTTGTTTACATATATGGACAAGTTAATCTTCAAAACATTTTGACAAAGATAACAGTTCTTTAATTACCATTTCTTATCAGATAATAAAGGATTTAAAGAGTTGGAATCCTCATCAAAATCTTTACTTTTTGGTCTAAGAGAGTTAGATTAATCAATTTTCACAGTGGTTTAGATCCTAGTCATGCTAATTAGTGCTTCTCTGTCAGTCCCAAATGGAAATTTTGTTTGAAGGATTAAATGTAATAATACATGTGAATCAAGAGATGAGGAACATCTTCTAGTTACCATGGATGACTAGAAGGTGGCACAGTGTAAGAGATGGTTCCTGTTAACTCACTCAGAAGAGTGTCCTGAGACATAGTCTTCCCACCTAGAAGAGCCAGTGGAGATAACTGAGGATGTGACAGAGACTGCTGGACGGAGGTCATTCTGTCCACACGCAGCCCTCGCTGATTGTTCCATTGTGACCTGAGTATTTTGAACTTCACTCAAAGCTATTTTCTCTCTGTGAAAGCCTCAAGTTTCTGAAGCCGCACTTTAGAAGGGCTCAAACTGTTCCTCATCTAGAAAAACATGACACATGGAAACAAATACCCTGACATAGCTGATACAGTTACAGTAATTTATGCATTGAAGTTCCTGGAGCACCTTATATTCCAATGATATGGAATATATTTCAACGAAGAAAACCAAATAACACACACAGATATGTGTGTGCATATATGTATATATAACATATAAAATATATTTTTCTCCCTCAACTTTTTAGTCCATTTTCACATGTGCAATCCAACCACTTCACATTTTGTGCCTTTTCCTAATATGGCATTTAAAATATACATTTTTATGTGTTTGCATTGGAGCAACACAAATTTATACATATGGAAAAGCTATTCCCAGTCATACCAGTCACAGGTAACCACAAGAGAAATTTCCATCCCAGCTCTCCCCTTTACATGAGCAAATATATTTCTACCCAACAGTATGTCTAAATTAATGAAGTTCCCATTAACCATCAAATGCTCTGGTGATACAACTCTTAAAGTTCTCAGAGAGCCTAAATTCACCCAAATTAAACACTCTCCAAAAATAAACCTCAAACAGACTATTCTAAAGAGAATGCTCCATTTCCAACTTCAACTCCTAAGACCATGGCAGGAGACATTTAAAACAAAATACTTAACGCTCCACAAAACAACTGCTCTCACTGTGAAAACTGCTAACCTAAATCCAGGTCTTGAAAAATACAATGCATTATTATTTGAAGGAAACTTTCATTCATCCTTTTTCCCATTTGTTTCGCTTCCAAAGTATCAATTAACTCTTAACCTCTAACACCATCGCTCTTGCCTCCTAAGAGTCGCTGAAATAACAGAGGATCACCAATGTGGTTGGCATGCATCAGGAGGACTTCACAGCCTTGGGTGTGGTTTGTGGCGCTCACTCTTCAGGAAATGCGTAGAAAGCCCACAGTTTGCAGTCTACTCTCTTTAGGTCTTGGGCATATTATAGAAAGATGGTAGAAGGGTCTAAGGAAGAGCTGGTGCGGGCACTCCTATAGTCATAGTCAGCACCCTTTAAGGTCTGCTCACACTCACTGGGAACTCTCCTGAAGATGTAAAAATGTAGAGTCTGTTTAACAAATGACCATTAGGAAATAAAACTGGGTGCAAGAGAGGGGGCTCAGCTGTTAAGAGCAATGGCTGCTCCTGTGGAGGACCCAACTTCAGTTCCCAGCACCCACATGGTGCCCAACAACCCTCTATAATTCTAGTTCCAGTTGATCAGATGCCCTCTTCTGGACCCTGAGAGGTGCTGCACATATGTAGTACACATACATACATGCACACACACACATAAAACTAAAAAAAATATTTTTTTACAGCTGGTGATTCTCTGGAAGTAAGGAGTTTTAATAGTATGATTTCTACCAGTGGGACACTTAAAATGTCTTAAAGACATTATATTCTGCTCTCTTTTTTGAGAACTGGCAGGAAATACAAGGATTCAGAGAAGAACTAACAAGTTTCTGAGATCATGGGACTGTTCTAGACATACTTTTGCAATGTAAGCAGTTGACATGTGCCTAGCCTGGTGGATAATCTGACTTTTAAAGTTCAAATTGTACTAAAATTTAGCTCACTTAAAATTTAAAGTAAATAGTCACACGAAGTGACCCCAGTTGCAGAAAACAACATACATCTATCCAAAGTCTTTATACAGACTTAATATTTTTACAAACTAGTCTAAGAGCAAGGACTCATATTCAGGACTACATTATTGTAAAATCAGTATAATCTATAAATAAATTCAGTCTCCAGTTATAACTCAATCAAGCTTAATCTATTCAGTCTACTCGTGTGTCCATATTTCTATGGCCTTAGAGTCAAATAGAAAGAAAAAAATTAAAAGGAAAAAGTCAGTTACTTCTCTATTTTGTTCTCAGCATGTCTCTGTTTTATGGCACCTGCAAGTCACTAGGAAAAATAGAATGGAGACTGAAAAACACAAATAACAACACACACACACACACACACACACACACACACACACACACACA